AGCGGGGTGCTCTAGAGCAGCTCTGGAGTGCTTAAAATGCGTCACTGAACTCACTGGAAAGCGACTCTGATATCGGATTAAAAAAAAAAATTAAATAGAAAATCAACAACAAAATTTGAAAAGAAGTGTATTATTTCAAAATGTATTTACACGCTGGCAACGCAGCGGGTCATTAGCTAGTTTTTAATATTTTTAACTTATTTCGTGCTTCATATAGGGGTGCAAACTTGAAGTAAGGGTTGAAATATTATTTAGAATTGCTGTTGTAATTTGCACCCTGTTTGTAATTTTCTCGATGTCAATAATTATTGTAAAAAACAAAAAATAGAAAAAAAAGGTTTCCACTTATTATTTTTGGGTGCAAATGTTGCATAATATTCTGGCAATCAATTTGAACATTTGCACCTAGTTTTTGAATTGTTAGCAATTTTCCCTCCAAATAATGGTGTTTTTTCACATATATTATGATAATGCAAATCGCTCATTTCCGGAGGAGATTGAAAGGTGCAAATTTATACAATTATTTGTTTGGCATTTACGGTGCATCATCCCAATTTGCACCTTGTTAGCATTTTTTCCGAAAACTATATAATACTTTTCAACAATAAATAATTTTTCATTGTGTTCCGCCTAATGAAAAACGGTGCAAAATTAATACAAGATTTGGAAGATCAGTCGTCGCGTTTTTGTAAATTTGCACTTTGTTAGCAATTTTTGGGAAGAAGTAATTGATAATTGTTTAATTTTTACAAAAAAAAAAAAAATATTCCGCACGTCACTGGAAGGTGCAAATTTTTACAGTTCATTTTTTTGTCATACAAAACGTAAATCTTAAATTTCACGTTGTTTGTAATTATTGTTAATTCCAATGCCTCATTGAGACTATTCCGGGTTGGATACATCTGAGAAAAACAAAAATTGAACTCTGGGGCTTTCGCGATGCATCAGAAAACGCCTACGGTGCAGTGATCTATGGTAGTTTACCCTGGACCTAGTTTGCTGCGTTCAATACTCCCAGAAGGGCGTTTCCCATTAAAGGTAGTTTGCACTGGGAGAAGACTTAGCTAGAGGGGCTTTACCCATTTGGGGTACTTTGCACTAGCCTTAGTCTGCCGGTAATGGATTTCGGCGCGGTATTTATACCAAATAAATGCTGCGGCTCGTCGACACACTTTAGTAAAATTGATGTACAGAGTGGTATTTACTTAAGCAGACAAGCGAATTATTACGCTCCTGCTGCAAGCAAAATAAAAAGTCGCTCATGCGAAGAACAGAATAATCTTACCTCGCTTAGAACTATGTGCAGCAGTTTTACTATCAAAATTTATTCAAAAAACAAATACTACTACTCACTCTTGACAGGATAAAGGGTGACTCTACAATGATGTCAAACCTTCATAGCAAATAGAGTTTGCGAAATACGCAGTATCCTGGAACCACGTCAGGTCCAAAGACAACCCAGCAGCCATCATATCCAGAGGATTGGACCCAGACAAGTTAGAATCAGCTGATCTGTGGTGAAAAGGTTCTTATTGACTAACGACTCTCGGCGAAACCCCCACAACAGACCGTATTCCTGACATTCAAGAAAAAGTCAGAGCTACATACCCCAAAATTGAAGCTACAATAAAGAATCATATATGGGAACGCTTCTCAAACTTCAGAAAGATGCTCAGGGTACTATCCTACTGCCATCGATTCATCAAAAGAGGAGAAAGTCCTACTCTATCCGTTCAAGAAGTACCTACAAGACATTTTCGAAAGAATCATTAAAATGGTGCAACAACAAAAATTTTCGGAAAAATATAAGTATTTACTGATGCGGTTTCTTGTTTGTTTTTTTGAATTAGTGAAGGTTTTTATTGGGAGTCAGTCAGGTTGAAAAATTAAAATTCATTTTCCAACTTGACTGACTCCCAATAAGAACTTTCACTAATAAGTCTTTACAACAGCAAAATCCAATTGACAAAAAGAGTAAGCTACAGACCCTCAACCCTTTTCTCGACAGTCGAGGGGAGACTCGAACACTTACTTCTACCCTACGACCAACGGCACCCTATGATTCTCCCATACCACTGAAATATATCTACTGTCAAACATACGAAGCAGATTTTGGATCATTAACTGCAATAGAGCCGTCAAAGCGGTTATAAATGAGTGCGTTGTTTGCATCCGTCACAAAGCAACTCATGGGACAACGTCCGAAATCGAGATTAACTCCAGCACCACCATCCACAAAGTCAAAAGTGGACTAGGCTGAGAGAAAGGAGAGGTCACAGATCATATAAAGGGTACATCGCCGTATTTGTATGCCCAACAACCAAAACAATCCACCTCAAAGTAGGCCGTGACATGGCAACAGTGGCATTCTTAGCAGCACTCCAAAGATTTGTGCGAATATGTACAGCAATAACGGAACCACTTTCGTAGGAGCAGCACGGTTATTCTAAGATGAAATCACAGAATTGATATAATCACTATCTGTGCAAAACACGATCGTCAACCTAGGAACACAATGGCACTTCATCCCACCAGCAGCTCCATGTTTCAGAGGAATATGGAAGGCAGGTGTGAAATCTATGAAGCACCATGTCAAGAGAGTAATTGGAAACTGCACTCTTAAACGACTTAAGTGTATCAAATCGAAGCATGTCTAATAAACTCAAGCCACTCTACCAGCTGACAGAAGACACAGATGATTTCAACACCTTGACTGGACACTTTCTTATAGGAAGAGAACTACTAGCACCACCAAGCTTGATGAGCTCGACAAAACATTTCAACCTATCTCAACGATGGAGACACGTTAAAGAGAAACATTTGGAGCGCATGGTGCACAGAATACTTCACCAGACTATAGCAAAGATACAAATGGAATAATCAGACTAACAATCTATGAGTAGGATCAATGGTCCTAATCGAAGAAGAACATATATACCCCAACCAGTGGCCTCTGGGGAGAATAGTAAAAACTCTTCAGGGCCAAGATGGAGCAGTCCTAATGGTAACAATAAAGAAAGCAGGTGGCTCCACACAAAAAAGACCGATTCACAAGTTAATTCCTCTACCGATAGCACCAAAATCAGTCAGAAGTATAAGGAGATCAGATCGTCTATGGAACGTAGCATGAACATCAACAAAATCATATTTATTGTTCTTCCTAGCAGCCATAATGATGATGATTACAAACGCCGCCGTAGAAAAAGGATTTGAAATCAACTATCCGCAACATGGATTCTACACGTTAAACACCTTGGATCAGCAAAAATTGATAGAGGTATTTCCAGAATAGAGACAACACATACCAAGAATAAAACCGAAACAGAATTATCAGAGGTGCAACCAATCCAAAAAGCTGGCCGATGACGTCAAATACACATCTCTCGTACAGCCTTTGGAAGAAATGGGAAATCATTCTAACTGGATATTCGCAACCATGGACGACATTCACCACAGAACCAAGTCTGTTTGGAAAATTTTTGAATGCGGTTTTTGGAGTAAATGTTGAAGTAGGTATGTCAAGATATCAATGCAATCAACAAGAATCAGGAAGAACTCATCAGATGATCCAACTACCAAACAAAGTTCATGATTTCGGCTCTCACGAAATTCAACGAAACCGAAGCCAGAATCACGAACTATAACATTTCCAGAAACGACTCAACGAAGGAATAAAAAATATCAAAAGTATGCAGAATTGGTACAAACAAATAAGACACCAATGCACTCATTATTCACCTATTGAGTGCATACCAAGTATCCACCAACTTCATCAGCGAAACAAACGAGCAAAACAGAGGTATATTATATGACCAAGTTTCACAGGCATATATCAACGCCATCATTCAAAAATTCAATCGAAAATTGCCAAACAACCTGAAAATCGTTTCGGCAGCATTGTCCACAAGATTAATCACCAACATTCAACTCCATGAAAGCAACTTCCAACAGTGCATTTCCGTTAGAAACATTGAATCTAATCCGCCCTACGCCATCGACGAAATGTATGAATAGCCACAACCCAGACATATAACAACACAGACTAAAGGGCATCCTCTGGAAACGACTATACACAACGAATACATGGATGTTCTTCGCAGGTTCCTGTGTAAGAGTATCGGTTATATGTAACGGCAAGCGGGAAACCATACCCTTAATCTTCAATGGTACCCTCCACAAACACACACCTTCAAATCTAACCTGTGTTTGGAGAAACCGATAGTTTTGTAAAACTAGTAAGAGAAGAGGAGGACCTTAAAGATCGACTTTATAGCACAGTGTGGCGCAGCATTCATCACCACTCCTCAGCTACCAGCAGCATTACAACAATATTCATAATCATAATGGTGATATCAGGATGGCAGGTGACAAAAATTAATCAGCAGAAGACGTCAAAAGCAGCAAACAGATCAATACCAAGACCAAAGCGAAGAAATAGAGCTGATGTCTCTACATTCTCCTACTCTGGAGAGGCGGTAGAATGTTTAATTAGAATAACTGAACAGTGATTAATCTTCAGCAGCGTAATTTGAACCACATCGTATAGGATCATAGTTTAATTGTTGAACCTTGGTTTTCACTGCGTTTCAATTGTAATGAGTTAAATTTTGTATGCATAAAAAGCGTTATGTCATTCGTTGTTTTACCCCGTTGTGTATATTGTACTCGATGTCTTTTGTCTGTTTCTCATGCTTTGGTAATACTTATTATTTCTGTTTTTTTATTCTTTCATTCTCTGTTTTGACTGAGTAATGTCTTTGTCAGCGACATTTTTGTTTAAAGACAATAAAGCTATGTTTTGACTTGACTTTGACTTTTCTTTGAATGAAGTTCTTTTGTGTGAAGACTCCGTAGATGCTGTATGTGATTCTATTAACATTGGGTAAATCCGACTTGGTTGGACTTTGCACATTTACTCATTTGGGAAAAATCCATTTAAAACTAAACTATGATAGATAAATATTTGCCACTTATAACAATTAACTAACATTTTTTGGTGTAACACTGTAAAAGTTTCTTCTTTATCATTGTTTACACAGCTTCAAATTATTTTTCGAAGCTGAAACAAACCGTTACAATAAAATCCCAAATTTGTCAATACTCTTTTTCAATAATGCTATATAAGAGAAACAACTATCATATTACAAAGTAAATGCTACAGTATCACAAAAAACCTTCGCGCTTCCGTAATAGTTTTGTGCAACTAATAAATAATATTGATAACATTTTATCATATTTATTTATTTCGTGTCATGGTACAGCCAGGAAGATTCCGATAAAGTCTTAATAAATGTTTTTAATTATCGAAGAGAATTCGTTTTAATTAACGTCGTTATTCCAGTTTGGTTTATCAACATTACAACTTCGATCAGACTGTTTATTGAGTGTGTATTTTTTGAACTGGAATAAGTGAGACTTTTGGATAAATAGAACGGTTATTGATAGAACTAATATGGCGAAGACAACGTCTTTGTGGGTGAGAATTTTTGTCTATTTTATTGCTCGTTGACTAGGGTTTTACCATGTTTAGTTATTTATGGTTTAGACTAAGTAGTTGAAACATTTTCAGATATTTAAATCCTAGCGATTTCCAACCATTTTCTCAATGTGCACATTTCCAGTTTTCATTAGACTTTGCACGTTATATTTATTCATATATTATTAATTTATTTAATTTCCCATCCCTTAGAAGACTTTTTTTCTGCCTCATCAATTCCCTTGTTCCAATCCTTAGACTTTTGATTTTCCTTCTTTGCCACTTTTTTTTTCTGTTTTTAAAAGTCGATCGGTGGTCAATCTATAACGAATGTTGTTAATGTCATCTGATGTTTCTTCCATACCTTATTTCAGTAAGCTTCCAGAATCACCGTTTTGTCGAACATCTTTTTTCGTTCGTTGACAATTTGAATGTGTAATGAATCAATTAAATATGTAGAAAATCTTCTACATAAAAGGTAGTCTACATATTTCATATTTCCCTTTTTTGTTGTCATACGTCCTGGGCCAACTATTTACAAAATATATGAAAAAATAATACCAAGCTTATTATAAGTGATATTTTTGAACTCTATCAAGTACGATAACGTGTCAGAAATCCCATATTTACCCTACTATCATTTAGCCTCGATAAAAATTTGTCAAAGGTCAATAGTGGACTTCTTTAGAATCGGTAACTGGTACTGAAGCACTTCTTATCGTAAGTTTGTTTGTATGCATTACTTTTATTATCCAAAATTATTCACGAAAGGTTAAAACATAATAATAATTATCGGCCTATTATTGATAATAAGGTATATTGATTTTTCTGCGCTGGTGATTGACTTTTAATCCACACACTAAGTAATTGGTATTTAATTAATTATTTATAATTCGCCAATAAACTTCTCAAAACTTGGTACCTATTTATAATCCGAACTAATTATTGCTAAGGTCAGTTCGGATTACCGATTTGTTCGGATTACCAAAATACATAGTGAATTTAACTTAAATATGCAATAAATATGCGGATTATCAAAAATAGGCTTCATCTTTTAAGAAAAACATAAATGTACGTAATTAACTCCAAGTTTACTTAGGTTTTTTCTACTTCATACTGGCTGCTTCTCCCATTTCCGCCTTCTTTTTCATTTCGTTTAGGGCCCGTTTATTCACCTTCTGATAAATTGTCATGTATCATGTTCATGGATGCAACCTGACGGATAAAAACCCAATCTTTAATCCCATTGGTCGGCCAGCTATCTAGCGACCAATAGAATTGCAGAACGGTAATTTATCTTGCAGATAGTTAACAGCAAGTTTATCTGAAGATTAATAAACCGGCATTAATGTGCTCAGCTGTTTCAGAATTTTATTCTGCCCATTTCAAACAAGTCTGAAAACATTTTACTGTTCCTTTGTGAGTCACGCTGGTTGGTACGATTTCATCAGATTCTTCTGATCCGACTTTGAGAACGTATTAAAAATTTTACGTAGTGCGCGTGGCGTAAAGTGGTTTTCAACAGTTATTCGGATTATCAAGATTTGTTCGGATTATGCCTTCGAGCGTTCGCTGTTAATCGCTGTTTGGATTAGCGGAGGTTCGGATTAACGCATGTTCGGATTATCAAGGTTGTACTGTATTTAAAGAGACATACAAGATTTTGTTTAATTATTTTCATTATTAGGTACTAGTACAATAATGGTTTGCTGAGTTCGAGTTGTTCATTTGCCTTTGTTGACTTTGGCGAGATGAATTGCTTCGCCTTTCTAAGTCCTGGACTATTGTTCCAATGGGAGGCCTGTTGTGCCTCTAACCATTTTTTAAGTTCGGTCCTTACATGGTTTTTGTCAGGCCAAAGAAGGGTTCTGGACCGAGGCATGGTGACGCGGCGCCTTATCTTGCAAGTCGGTCCGCTATTTCATTTCCTTCCATGTTTTGGTGCCCTGGTACCCATGCTAGTGACTCTATTGCAGTTCGCCAGTTGCTTTGGAAGTTGCTGACAGTCCCAGACTAGTCTGGATTTAGTGACAAAGCTGTTAAGAGCCTTAAGTGCTGCCTTACTGTAAGAATTGTATTATAGTGTACCATTGGTGTACCATGGCATTCTTTAATGATGCTCATATGTCCAACAAGGTCCCCTTTCTTTAGGTTTAGAGACTATATAATCGTTGAGGCCCCCATGTAGGCCTCCCTCCTGACTGCAATGTGCAGAGGGATGATATCTAACATGACCTCCATAGCAGCGGTTGGACAGGTGTTCATGGCACCTGTTATTCTAAGACATGCATACTTTTGTACGCACCAATGCAGCATATGTGACTAGGGGACTTATAATCATCGTATATAACCAATAGATAATGATCTATTGGTTATATACGCCAAAAATGTTTGGCTTTAGGCCCCATGTTTTACTGAATAGTCTCCGGCATGTTCAGTACGCTACTGTTGCTCGATCGACTATTTTTTTTAAATGTGAGTTCCAGGTGAGCTTTCGATCTAGTCCAACGCCCAGATATTTGACTTCATTTGAAAGGCTTATTTGTATTCCGTCCAGTGTTGTAGCTATTAAGTTAAGCTTCCTTTACCTTGTAAATGGTACAATTATTGTCTTGCTGGGATTCACCCTTAGACCCTCTTGCAAGCACCAGCTTTTGATGATGTTGAGGGCATTCTGCATGAGTTCACTATCCTATCATGCTTGCCTCTAATGATGACTACAAGGTCATCAGCATATCCACACAAATCCATGGTCACTTAGTATGTTTAGAAGTTCATCTATTACTATGGACAATAGCAATGGGGATAATACACCCCCTTGGGGGCACCCCTTGACTGCTAGGACAGTCGCTGAGTCGCTTTGATTTTCCTATCCTGTAGCATGGTTTCAATCCATGTGATTGTAGTGTCCTCAAAGCCTTTGTTTTTTGCCGCCTTTCTTATGGACTCATAAGAGGTGTTATCAATGAATGCACTGCAGAGAGCGGTTTCAAATCAATGATTTTCTCCATGGTTTTGAGGAGAAACGAGGTCAGGCTCATGGGCCTGAACGATTTAGGCTGTGCTGTGGGACGTTTCCCAGCCTTTGGAAAAAAAGACCACATTTATTTCCCGCCAGCTAGTGGGAGCGTAACCTAGTAAGTAGCTAGCTTTGAATATTATTGCTAGTGGAGCTATAAGTTCTTCTAAGCCTTGTTGTAGGAGTGCTGGAAAAATACTGTCTTCTCCTGGTGATTTGTAGGGCTGAGCCCATCTTATTTTGTTTGAGGTGAATATTTTTCTGGCCAGACTTTTTGTTCGGTTGCTTGGGCGAAGCTCCGTTGCCGTTTAGCTCACACTCTACAGAGTCGATTGTTGGAGCAGTTTCACACTCTCTAATCTACTCTCTGTGTAACTGCCATCAGATTTTTGCAGTAGTCCAATGCCGTTTGAGTGGTCTTTTGCAAGGACTTTTTGGAGTCGCATTGTCTGAGGGATGTCAGTAATCTCCTCACAGAAATTCCTCCAGGATTTCCTTTTAGACCTTCTCAATTCCTTGTTTTATTCAGTTATGGCAGTTCTGTATTCGCCCCAGTTGTTGGTGCGTTTTGCCCTATTGAATAACCTTCTTGTTTCAGCTCTTAGGGAACTGAGCGACCTGTTCCACCAGGGCGTTTTTCTATGTACGACCCTTTGTTTCACAGGACAGCTGTTCTCATAGTGTTTATTTCGTTAGTGATATACTCTAACTTTATAAAGGGTGAATAACACTTCTCGGGCCAAAGAATTGTAACAACACTTTGTCAGCAATCTGCTTTATTATTTAACATTCAACAATACAATGACAGACTGAGAATCGACAAAAACTTACTATTAGTCTACAAAAGATGACAAAAACGACACAGCTTGGAGTTCTCAAAGTTTTTAATCATGGAAATAGCACTTTGATTGTCTATTTTTAAAGTCACAGGTTTGCACTCGCCAAAGTCTGCTAAAATACCTTTCAAATTGACCACCACCTGAGCTGCGCAACCAGCTGCTACATACTCAGCCTCTATTGGAAAAAGAGCTACACAACTCTGCTTTCGTGAGTGCCAAGCTATTGGTTTTACGTCATGGAAACATATGAAACCACTTAAGCTCTTCCTTGTCTGCTTATCACCAGCCCAATCTGCATCACACATAGCTTCTAAGCCTCTATCATTTTTCCCATACATCAATCCATAGTTCTTAGTTCCATTAAGGTAGCGCATAATCCTTTTTCCAGCTTTCCATGCTTGTATTGTTGGCTTGTCCAGGTATCGGCTTAATTAACAAACACTATAAACGATATCTGGTCTTTTCATCAATGCCAAGTAGATCAGACTGCAAATCACCCTTTTATACGGGATATTTTCTTCTATAGGTTGTCCTTCATCGATGTGGAAATTTACTTCCATCGGTGTTGCTATAGGTCTGCTATTTTCCATAACGAACTCTTTCAATAGTCGTGTGATCATTTTTGTCAAGGTAATCTTGATACCTCCTTCATTTTTATTTATCTCCATTCCCAGAAATGTCTTCACTTCAGTTATATTCTTAATTTTGAATTCATTATACAAACTGTCCACTAATTTGTCCACTTTTTCTTTTGGTTCCGTTATCAATGCATCGTTCACGAACAACACCAAATAAACATCGTCTTTAAGATACAAACAATAGTCATATTGTGATCTTCTAAAATTTAGTCTCAACATTACTTCATTACCATTTAGGAACGCGGTTGGCACATCTATCTGGCTCAGTACCCAGTCTTTTTGCACTGTCACGTGCTGTCCTCTTTCACCGTAAAAATCCCTCTCGTATCAATTGCTTTTTGTAATTTGGTTGGCATCCAGGTATGTAATTTTTCATGAGATTTCAACTCATTGTTTATTGCTTTTAGCCACTTTTCAGATTCACTGGCTTCTTGATATGTCTTTGGCTCTTCCTGACTCTCTAAGAGTAAACAATATGCCACATACAGCTCATAATCATCCAGGTTTTTAGGCTTTCTTGTATTTCTTCTAGATCTAGTTACTGTACAATCTCTCGCTGGTATATATTTAGGTTCACTTGAGACTCCACTGGTTTCATCTAAACTTTCATATTCTATATCTTCATCTCCCGCAATTTGTATATCTTGAGTATTCTTTGTCTCATTCGAATTTCTATATTGTTCTACAGGTATAAAATTATTTTCCTGTTTCTCTACATTCTTGAATTCCATAATAGACTCATCAAACCTAACATCTCTTGATCGAATGATTTTTTGTTCTGTAGGTGACCATATTCTGAAGCCTCCTCCACAATATCCCATCATCACTGCTTTTACTGCTTTCGGATTTATCTTGTTTCTTTTTAGTTACACTATATACCAACCAAAAATTCTTAATTTGGTCAAATAATTTCTTCTGTGCCAGATCTGTGATGGTGTCGTTCCTTTTGGTGAAACTGATGTCGGGGTTCTGTTGAGTTCATATGCAGAACACTTCACAGCTTCTCCTCATAGTGATTTTGAAATGCCAGAATCAATTATTTTTGTTTTTATCATATTCAACAAAGTTCTGTTCATCCTTTCAAATTTACCGTTCATCTGAGGACTGTAGGCCATTGTATATTCTAATTTAATTTCCTTTTGTCTGCAAAAATCTCTAAAACTTCTTGATGTAAACTCTCCTCCATTATCTAGTCTGAAACGTTCCACTCTTACATTATGCTGTGTCTCTAACTCGAGTACATTATCTCTCAGATTTCCTTCTGCATTATGTTTATTCTCCAGTAACTTCACAATAACAAAATGTGAGTAATTATCAAGAATCATTTGAAAATATCTTTCTCCATTTACTGTGTTAGGTGTCACAGGTCCACATAGGCTGACGAGTCGTTTAACGTCCTCTGGGGGTGGATTTGTCTCGTCGTCTCCAGGGAAGTAAGCCGAGGCAATCACTACCTCTTGCTTACCCCCTGAAGTTGGTGCCTCTACAGACCCTGCAAACAAGTCCCTTCTAATGAACTCTGAAAAAGGAAGTTGATATTCTTATTTAACATTATTGCTGCCCTTGGGTGTTCATGTTGATTATTTAACTTACATGATTTTGTTGGAAGTTCCTTTATTCGTGAACCATGGGTCCATGGCTCCTGAATGAGGACTATGTCCAGCTGAATCTGCAGATTCACTTGTAACACTTTGCAAGGAGCCATTATGATTGCTCCTTGCTGGGACCTTTATGATCCCTGGTTTTGATGGGCTTTTTACCTGTTATAGTTTTGCCTTTTCCTTTGGGACATATCTCAGTCCCCCTGGGGTCTGCCGCTTTCGACACAGACGCCCCGGCAACTGCAGCAGCATCAGTTTTAGGCACCTTTTTTGGGACTGTCCTTTGGGGTCCTCCTCTCGGTTTTAGCCAAAGCTGGGCGAATCGGTGGGTCACCCTGAAGTTTTCCCTCTTCAGGTTTTCATAAGACCGTTGGTCTATGGAAATGGTTAGCTGAGCAGAGGTCCCCTCGGTCACTCTGTTGAGGACTCTCTAGTCCTCAACGCTCAGTCCTTTGCTTTAGCCTTTGAGAAGACCAAGTATTTCCTCGTTGGGGCTATTTGCACTATTGGGAAAGTGTCCTACAAAGATTTGCGACCAAGGAATTCTGGATTCCTCCATTGCCCTCAGGGCAGCGCCATCCCAGGGCTTTAAGGTCTCCGCCGTTTGGAATAGCCACTTACTTGTGTCTTCATCCTTACAGGTGATCAATACGAACCCTGGTTTGAAGGTGCAGGATAGGAACTTGGGTTTTACAACCCCATCCTTTTCCTGCAAAATTTTTTTAGAGAAGTGCAGCCTGGGTAGCCTCAAGCTGTTCCGTACTAAGCTGCACCTCCGGAAAGTCTATATGGGTGATGCCCACCTTGATGCTTTGAACCGCCTGTTTGTAGGAAACCGCGGCTGTATAAGGTTTGGTTTGGGTGGTGGAGCCGTTGTTAGGACAGACGAAATAATTGTTATTTTACCGACGAAAATGTCTGTTAATAAACTCATAAACGTTTGGGTTATGAACTCATTATATCACAAGTTCATTAATGAATGAATGAATAGCTATTACATGCAATCGTGTGACATAGATAGTTCTTCTAAGTAGATTTTAATATGCGATGAAATAACCAAATGCCAACATGAAAGCAAACGTCAAGTGTTGATTTTTCATGGCAATGGCACGAAAACTTAGCATTTCACTTGTATGTCCATCAACCTTTCTACATAACTTTACTTTTCTAGAGTGTAAAAAATTCGTTTGTAATAGAGATTTTTACATCGCAAACGGTTTGTGTATAAGTGAAAATGTTTGACGTTTCCATCCATGTTGCCATTTCGTTATATTATAAAAGGTAAATTGCATATTACAATTAATACAAATTTATTATTGATGTTACTTTTTAGATCTCGAGGCTCTTCCTGTTACTCCTGCCTCTATCCCAAGTCAACAGCGATTATTCCAGAGTCACATCCTACGACCTGATGAAATGCTCTTACGGAGAACGCGGTTCGTTGACTGCCACCTGCGTGAACGCTACCCCGTCATTTTTCAAGACCACCCTGTACAAATTCGATCACCTGGATGAAACTCTTCGATGCCTGAATTGTACTTTGGACATTATTGAATCAAACACGTTCGATTTGTCCGGGAATCAGATTAAAGAGCTGGATCTGCAAGATAGTTTGATTACGACGCTTCGGCCCAAGGCTTTTATGGGGTTGATATTTTTGAAGAGTCTGAATATATCTAGTAATAAGATTAGATCGATATTTCCAGGTATGTAATAATTTTTCTTGTTACTTATAATTCACACATCTAGTCTTACTGAGCCACTGGATTTGTTATTTATGTTTCTTATTGATAAATGCAAAATTGGCCTGACTTTGGGGCATCAACTTAATATAAAATATGTCTGTCATACTATAAACATAGAAACAAGTCTTCTGAAAAAATGTGTGCAACATCAATCAGTTGAATTAAAACTCGTTTCCCTATCTTTTCCTTGTTTAGGTTGCAAGATTTTTCACGTGGTTCTAAGTCTTCTTCTGGAAAAATGTACTGTAATCAGGGAAAAATATGCCTGCCCCTCTGAATCATGAAATTTCTAAAAATCCTTTTTCCATAAGTACTTAAGTCTTTTTCTTGCCAACTTCGGCACATAATATGATACACTGATTACTGATACTTTGTGGACAGATCTAAAATATACCATGACGAATTAGAATCATCATCTATGTTTCCTTTTCTACCGCATTTTATTTTTATATTGCTCTTATTTTGGTCTTTTGCCTCTTCGACGTCTATGATTTTTATTTTTCCCAAAATCCAAATATAGATGAACCCAGGATCTATTGAGAAGACAGCCTTCAGTGTAAAAATCGGGCATTATAAGTATCTGAGAATGCCTTTCGGATTAAAAAACTCGCCTGCAACGTTCCAGCAAGGAAAAATATGCCTTGTGTATATGGAAGTAATCATTTTAATGAATGATTTAAGTCCAAGAAAATTCAGTTTATTATCAATAGTAATATAACGAGTGCAATGGAAATTATCAATAATTTTTGGGAAATTTACTCGAATGCATTTTTAGTTGAAAAAGAGCACTCGTGCACGTAGTTAAAAACGCATGAGTGCAAATTTGTCGAAAATTATAGATATATTTTCATTCTTCTTCTTTGGTGTTTAATCTTGCGTTAGTGCGACAGCACTCTTACGCAATTTTGGGTGAGTCTACTCACTGCCATGTGATGTGTTTCAAGTCAATTTTTGTTCAGGAAAAGGAACGGGAGTGAGAAAAGGATAGGAAGGATGGGAAAGGAGAAAAGGGATTTCATTTACTAGAAGAGAAGTGGAGCTTTCAGATTTCTGAAAATAGTCCTGTCAGGGTTAATAGTATGGTTATCGTCAAATAAAGAATTAATTATGTCATTTGTATGGTTAGTTACTTTGTCGAGAATCCACGTATGTTTCTCAACAAGGTTCTCCTGGATTGTATCAACGCTCAGGTTCGTATGTAGGTCCTAGCATTGCGGACATACCACGGAGCGCCGACCATCCTACGGATTATCTTGTTTTGATACACCTGCAGTTTCTTTCTATTATGACGTGTTGTCTATGAAAAAACTGTTGCACCGTAAAGTAAAGTAGGTCTGATAACTTGTTTGTAGTAATAGTTTGTTTTTTAGAGTACTGTCCTTGTAAAGTAATGGATAAAGTAATCCCACTAATCTGTTGCATTTATTCAGTTTATGATAAATGTGGGGTGTCCAAGAAAGTTTACTGTCCAGTAATAGTCCTAAATATTTAATTTGATTTGTACATGTAATTTCGGAATCGTCCAGGATGAGGTTCCCAATATGTTCGCATGTTTGTTGGAGATCAGGACGGCTTGGGTCTTACCGATGTTAATTTTAATTTTCCATAATTTTGCCAAGTCAATTATGGAGTCAAGATGATTTTGTAGTCGTCTGTGTATGCGATGTAAGTACTTTTGTGAAGTGTTAATACAAGTGTCATCTGCGTAGATGGACATTTTAGTATGGGGATTATTGGGGATGTCAGCCGTGTAGAGATTATAGAGCAGTGGAGCCAGGACAGAACCTTGAGGAACTCCTGCTTCTATAGGTCTGACATTTGTTAAAGTATCTTTGTTGAGTTTGACACGGAAACTTCTGGCTTCAAGGAAATTTAATGAGAATTTTGACAACAGATAATGGCAGAAAATATTTGTCATGAAGTTTGACTATGAGTCCAGCATGCCTTATTTACTCTGTGGACAGATCTAAAGTCTACCATGACGAATTAGAATCATCATCTATGTTTCTTTTTCTACCGTATTTTATCTTTATATTTTTCTTATTTTGGTCTTTTGCCTCTTCGACGTCTATAGTTTTTATTTTTTTCACGTTCCAAATATAGATGAACCCAGGATCTATTGAAAAGACGGCCTTCAGTGTAAAGATCGGGCATAATGAGTATCTGAGAATGCCTTTCGGATTAAAAAACTCGCCTGCAACGTTTCAGCGCGTCATGAACAATATTATACGGGACTTACAAGGAAAAATATGCCTTGTGTATATGGAAGTAATCGTTTTAATGAATGATTCAAGTCCAAGAAAATTCAGTTTATTTTCGAACATAACATGAGTTAAAACATTCGGAGTAAGATTTCCAGACTGCTGTCACCTATTAATTTATCAAATTTTGATAAACTATAATGTCTTGTCTTGAATCCAATAAGTCATCATTGACTTTCCTTCAGTGGCCGACTCCGTTTTATAGCGCTCCAATACTTCTAGAATAGTCTACATAATTCGCTCCCGTTCGTTTCAAATTTTCCTGGACTATTGCCATTGGCGAATTGTCTAGCCATCGGGCAAGATTATGCACAATTTCCCTAACTTCAGTAGATCATTATCAAATAAATTATACTTTCTAAAAGAAACAAGATTATTCAATGTATTCCTTGTAGATGTTTAGAAACTTGTGGCTCAGTTATGTTTTTACCTATTGAAAAATTACAAACACTAAAAGATTATTATTTCTTTTCAGGAACATTCAGTGGCACGAAAAAAATCGAAATCCTAGACATATCCAAAAATCAAATCTCTATCCTGTCGGAATCCGGATTCGCGGAGCTCACCTCGCTAACCAACTTAACTCTGCGCGAAAACCAAATCCAAGTGATGGATATCCGAGCGTTCGATGGTCTCAAGGCACTGAAAAATTTGGATCTGAGTTTCAACTCAATAAGCGCCCTGAATAATTCTCTGGAAAACTTGACCGCTTTGGAAGTTTTGAATTTGAGACACAACGATATCAGGCAGTTGTCTGGAAATGAGTTTTTCGGATTAACTAAACTCTATGTACTAGACTTATCCGAAAATAAACTTGTTAGTCAATTTTCGATAGCTATGCAGCCAGGTAATCAATTAAGAACATTGTCTTTGGCTTACAACCAAATCCGGATACTAGGATTTTTCGCAACGCACTTAGAAGCTTTGGAACAATTAGATTTAAAACATAACAACATCTCAATAATTAGTGGCCGAAATCCGTTTGAAAGCATGTTAAATTTACATTCGCTCGATTTATCTTACAATAAACTAACCGAAATTGAAACTGGAAAATTCTCTGGATTGCCTCAATTGAGAAGACTGAATTGCTCTTACAATAAAATCAACAACGTGTTAGTGACTGGAGTGTTTAGTTTACAAAACTTGCACACATTAGACTTATCTCATAACCTAATTTCCGATTTGGATTATACAGCTTTAATATCCAGAGTACCGAGCTTGGCTTATTTGAGGTTAGAAGACAACGTTCTACCATGCGATCTGGAAAAAGACATGGAAAAAACTTTCGAAGAAGACAATTTTAAATATGTTTTGTTTGACAATGTCGTTGGGTCAAAGAAATGTGTCGATAAGCCAGTCACCAAGTCAACGTTCAAGCACATACAAGACGCTTACGTGGAAAGTAGAGCTGATACAGTTAGCGGTGCAGATGTTACTATTTTTATATTGATTTCTATACTAATTGTGGCTGTAGCGGTTTTGTTTTATTTGCAATATTTGTTTTACAAAGGAATTGTGGTTACCGGGCCCAAACGAGTTGCCTCGACTGTTCAGCTTATCGCAAATGATAATGATGCTAAAGATGAAGAGTTTGATATTAGGGGTGCTTGAGGAATTTTTGTGTTCTTAGGTTAAGTTTTGAATAAATTTATTTATTTTGTATTATTTATTTGGTGTTTTATTAACATAGTATGATCATCGATTTTACAAACTTTTAGTCAGTTTAGATCTAGATAATGTATTAACATTAACATTAAAAATTACCAGAGAAAATTTCATTGAAACCCACCATAACAGCCTGCTTTGCCTTAGCATCTAACTTATTACCTTTGGGTAAAATTGTACACCAAAAATCTTGAGCTTACTCGGATCATTCCGGCCATGCCATATTGTCGAGGGTGTTACTCCCCTAGGTAAACCTCTAGTTGGAACTCTATTCAGTTCATACACAGAACATTATAGAGCCTCATTCCATATTGTTTTTGGAATACCGAAATCTATAATCTTGGTCCCTTATTTTATCCAATAGAGTTCATTTATTCATTCTTTCAGCTTTTCCATTCTCTTGGGGGGTATATGGCATGGTATACTCCATTCTTCTTACAAAAATTCCTAAAACTACTCGACACAAATTCTCCTCCATTATCTAATAGTCTAAATGCTTTGACCTTAACCTGGTGCTGTGTTTCAAGTCCTTTTACATATTGAATAAGATTCATGCTAGCCTGATTTTAAGTTTTTAATATTTTTATCACTAAAAAATGTGAAAAATCAGCTAATATAGTTTGAAAGTACTAACCACCATCTATAGTGGCTGGATTGATTGGTCCGCAGACATAGTGATATCTGTACCAGATCTCCCATAGCATTCGAGGTCCACTTATTCTCATCAAATGGACACCTTGTTGCCTTTCCTCCCATACAACTGCTGCCTATTTTATCAGATTTTGATAAACCTAGCTGCATGAGTGCGTCAGGACCTGAATGACCCAATCTTCTATGCCATAAGTCCTTATCAACTGAAATATGGCACTGGTAAGCAAACGGTGCAATTATTAATCTATCCACTGTTAAAATGTAAAGACCGCCTTTTTGACTTCACACTGTAACGTAAAATTTCTTCCACTTATGGTCGTGCTATTGCTTTCCACAATAACCCTATATGGCATGGTACCTTGGCATTGTGCTTTTAGGGTTCCAATCTTCGATTTAAGATTTTTTCCATTTTATGTATTGATACATAGTTCGGTAGCAGCTGTACGTCAAACATTTTGGCTTCTAGACTTTCCTGCACAAAGTGATTACTCGTACCTGAGTCCAATACAAAACTCAATTTGTCGTCAATTTCACTGCAATAGTTTGCAGCATATAGCATCACTTCTTCAGCTGTGTTTGCCTGATGCTTTCTCTCTTCATTCTCCTTCTGTTTTTCATGGGGGGACCTCTGTAATAACCTCTAAATCCTCTATAATTCCCTCTAAAACCCCTGTGATTTCCTCTGCCTCTAATATTTTCCCTTCTTTATGGACACTGTGCTTGAAAATGTTGTGGGCTGCCACATACAAAACATGTTCTTGTATTTACTTGAGTAATTACATTTAGGCGTACTTCAGTATGGATATTTTCTCGTCCATCAGCCTAGCCTTTACAAAATCAAACAACATTTGTCTCCAGAGCTGTCACTAATGTGTCATACTGCGGTGGGCAGGGACAATAATAAATGACACACTTTATCATTCTCACTCAGGTCAGATCCATGGTATTTGAGCAAATTTCAAAAAATGGTCAAGCCTCTCATAATGTGTTAGTTTTAAAATTTAAAAGTTTTATCCAACAGGACAATCTTATAAATGAGTTAGAACGTACAAAAACATTTTTCAAAACTTCAATTTGAGCCCTTGCAGTTGTGCAATCCTATCTAGATGTTTGTGGACACCTTGAACTATAATTGATGGAGCTTTATAATCCTTTTTCATCCAATCTACTTTTTCTTTACTAGAAGCTACCTCACTAGGTTCATTACTTTATATGGCCTCGCGGCAGTTTTCCCTTCAAAGCAGAATTCTTCTTTTTCCATTCCATTTCCTGTCCACTCCTGAACAAAGGCCTCTTTCATTTATTTCCATGCTGTTCTGTCTTTCGCCGTATGGTACCAACTTCCTCCTGCTATTCTTTCAATATCATCCAACCATCTCTTCTGTGGCCTGCCGACGCTCTTCTTTGTTTGACGTGGTCTCCAGTGTACAAGTTTTGCTACCCATCTGACCACACCCAGTCTGGAAACATGCCCAACCCATTGCCACTTAAGCTCAGCGATTCGCTGTATTATGTCCACTTTCTTCGTTACGGATTTTATCTCGTAAACTAACTTCAAGCATTGCCCGTTCCATGGCCCTTTGCATTGTCCTAAGGTTGTTGCTGTACTTCTGGGTTAAAGCCTTTGTCTCAAGACCATATGTTGTGACAGGCAGGATGCATGTGTTAAAGACTTTTTGTTTAAGCTTTAAAGGGATATCAGGATTTCTCACTATGTGACTCAGTTTTCGAAATGCTAACCAGGTCAGTTTTATTCTTCGTTTTATCTCCGCCGTTTGGTTTTCCTTCCCCATTTTAATGACATGACCCAGATATATTTTCACCAACATTATCCAAAGTTTTGTCTGCCATTCTTATATTTTCCTCAGTCCTGCTCATTATTTTTGGTATATTGTGTTCTGATGTTTTCTCTATTGACATTTGAATGGTCTGTATAGGTGATCCATAATGCTGTATCCCTTTCGAAATCCTGCCTGCTAAATTGGTTGATAGGGATTTAATTTACTTGTCAGTCGGTTTGTAAGGATCCTTGTTAGTAGTTTGTAAAGGTGGGACAGAAGGCTGATAGGTCGATAATTTTCAATGTCCGTGATGTCGCTCTTTTTAAAAAGCAGAATAACTTCTGCGTAGTGCCATGTTTCAGGGATATTGCCTTTAGATAAACATTTATTAAATAACACCTGTAGAATTTGTTCCATAAAGTCTCCGCCCATTTTTAGCATTTCACAGGTTATTCTGTCTTCCCCAGGTGATTTACGGTTCTTCATTTGTCCTAATGCCACTCTTATTTCCTCTTTGGTTATATCAGGAATTTCTTCTGAGCCTACATTACAAACGGTAACTTTCTGAGTATTAGGATCCCGCACAACATCAGATTTCTATATCTTTAGAGATTTCGTCTCTTCCAGTCAATTTATAGTTATTCTCATCCTTCATTTTGACAATTCTGCTTTTTCCAGGCGAAAGTCTCGATCTACGAACTTTCATGTTAGAGTTGTCCTCGATTACGGTTTGAATTGTTCTGGTATTATAGAATCTCACTCACATCTCTTCTCACTTCCCTCTGTATTTTCTTGTTGAGATCCCGGTACTCAGTTGCATCTTTGGAAGTTGTTTTTAATGGGTTTAAATTTCTTCTCCAACTCTTTCCGAAAGGCCTCTTTATGGACGTCTATTTCGTTTGCTGTTGTAAAAATATTCTTATTGGAAAGTTTTGCTCTTTCAATTCTCAGGTTTAGGGAAATTGTAGCTCTGATCAACCGGTGGTATCAGAATTATCATTCTAAATTACCAATTGTTGAAATTGTTTGCTCCTGAACCCATAACCTCTTGAAGTTAATGGACAAATAATACACTGGAAGTGATTTTCAGTAGAAGATATAATGTGAAATAACGGGAAAAACTGATTAAGTAATAACTATTAATAATTGAGATAAGAGACGATTCCATCTGACATTACATTAGACAATCTATCAAAAGTGCAGGTAAAACTTTCTAAGGGTAAAACAATAATGTGTGGTTAAACAGAAGGCTATGGTCCAAATATAACCAAACGTTAACCAAAGTAACCGAATCGGTTGACCGATGTTTACTGAAAATTCCGGTTTCTTGGGGAACGTGAATAGGTAGGTTTGTTCGGATTTGATTCAGAATCAGTTCTGAATTGAACTGCGCATGCGCATTTGTTTATTTATGTTCGATATGATTAAATGCGCAAGCGCAGATGAATTCAGAACTGATTCTGAACTAAGTCTGAACAAACCTAATATGAAATAAAAAATAATTGACAGAAATTACAGATAAAACCGACTGAATCGACATCCGATGGCCGGTTACTACTATTTTGACATTCGGTTGATAAGTAAAAGTCCACTTTTACTGCCTAGGCAGTAAAAATACAACTTTTGATCCTGTCAAGTGTCATTCGGAGAAAATAGTATATTGTTGTATTAGGAGTAGAAGCTTTACTTTTTTGTGCTGAAGCAGTAGGTTTGCGAGCCGAACGTAGTGAGGCTTGCAATACTTGCAATACTGCTGTAGCACAAAAAAGTGCTTCTACTCCGTATGCAACACGCTATTTTTTCTCCAAACAAATGGGGTAAGCTCGGGGGTAACTGAATGGTTAAGCGGCAGTAAAAGTACGAGCGGCACTAAAAGTACTTTTGCTGCCGCTCCAACGGCACTAAAAGTACTTTTGCTGCCGCGGGGGTTGCCAAGCAGCATAGAAATTGAATTTCTACCACCTCGACAGGTGTTAACCTGCTGGATTTGCCTACCAGCATAGAAATTAAATTTCTGACATCTTGACAGAGGTTAACAAAGTGGCGTTTTTTTGACGTTTGGAGAAAAATAAATTTACATTGCTCGAGAAATCGAGGGAACTCGATAAATTCTCGACGAGAGACAGAATGCCGTCACTCTCGTCTCTCTCATCTCCAAGTGACTTTTCGAGAGAACATTGGTCTCTCGTCTCGACGGCATTACTACGAATTTTATCTGGATGACAGTTTACTTTTCAAATTTCCACTCTAGACTATCTCGAGCTGATCTGGACTGATGACTGCCTTCTGTACTCGATCTCTATCTGATTATTTAAATAGTTTTTGGTGCCTATACAGTAAAATGTTGTTCAGTGCTGCTTTCAAGTCTTGGATGGCGCCACGACCAAAAGTCTCCCATCATACTGCTTCTAATTTGCCTACAGGCACTAAACTTGGGTTGGTTTTCTTTGCTTTTTTAGCCACACTGTCCACATTGATGAGATTAGGGCCCGTTTTCTCGAAACCGGGGAACAGCATTCTCAAGAGAACGATTGCTCTGTCTTTGTCACTATTATGGAAAAAAAACAATATGGGCGCAGGGCGCTTCATTCTTATGAGAACGCTGTTCCCCTGTTTCGAGAATACGGGTCCTGATAGATCGAAACGCGCCTGTGAATGGAAAAGCGAGGAAAATTACCCCACATTTTCACATTCTGTGTTTATAGAAAAACTTGTTTTGCCCTAACGAACTGATTTTTGGCCGGCCTATTGACGATCGGTGCTATACAGCAAAATGTTGTTTAGTGCTGCTTTCAAGTCTTGAATGGCACCACGACCAAAAGTCTCCAATCATACTGTTTATAGTTTTTGGTCCCACCATGAACTTGCGTTATTTCAATACGTTAACCTAAATCACTCTCCCGTTATTTCTAAGAAATATAATTATTTGCTCGACGGATATTGTTAAAATGTGAACCCAAAGGTATCAAAGGATGCCAAACTCGTGTCGGCTTTAAATAATGTTTTTTTAAGTGAAACTTCTTTGCTGAGGAGATGACAAATTTTCGAGCATTACGAAAAATCCGATCGCGTAAGGGGAGTTTGACAGTGTGTCAGCGGTGATCGGAGGGAGGTTACACACTTTGCTTGATTCGGAGAAGTCAAAATGAGAAATCGATCCGTAGCGTAGCTTGCTTGTGTGGTCTACTCCTTCAAATTACCACGATTGATTCATTTTTCTGTCAAATTAAATAACCAATTCCATGTAAAATATATTATCTTCATCTTCCCATACATCCATATTTTAACGTATTTCCATAGACTGAAATCGAAGGAACTGGAAGAATGGCCACCTTGTTGACTTCTATGCTGCAGCTTGTTTGCGTTTACAAGTTGGAGTACTGTAGAGAAATCTGTAGAACGTTCAATAAAGATAATATTGACTTTCTGGATCAGCATGATGTTAATCCTTTGGATGAGCAGTCGTATACCACCAATCTTATTACATATTCCCTATTTTTCATTCTTCGCTTGCCGGATTTTTCTTATCTCCAGTTTGTTGCCTGTTTTCTTTATTAGATTCACGAATTGGCTTAATGCTCCTAATCGATGAATTCTTAGCTCTTCAAATCTGAAGATTTCTAACAGGAACTCTTTCACATTGATTCACATTCTTGAGGCAGTTCTTTCCTTGCACTCGCCTGGATAAGGTATCTGCGTTATTATGCAGTTTCTCAGAACGATGTTTGATTTGAAAATCGTTTTACTCCAACATCTTCATTGCTATGAAAGCTTCACGTCATTAAAAGGAGAGCGAGATATCAGCGTCCCATAGTCTACAATTACGCCTAAAATGTCTTTGCAACATTCGATGCGCCCTTCAAGTTCCCTTGTCTAATATTCCAGCAGTTCCTTCATTGACTCTTTGATAATCTCTTCTATTATTGGTTCTTTTTCTACTGTTATTGACACAGCTCTGATCTTTGGTTCAAATGTTATAGATCGCTTTGCAGTTCCGAGCTGACACTTGTGGCTTAACTTTAATACCGGTTGCAGACGAGGCTTAGGAATTTCCTGATCTCAAGTCACATTCCAAATTTGATCGGAACACTATCCATTTCTTGGCGGATTGTTCCAACTTCCTGAAGAACCATTAGAACTTCCTGAAGAACAGTTCCAACTTTTTTGAGAACACTTCCCAACTTCTTCACACGGACTTTTACATAGCATTCTTGAATTTCTTATATATCAAGTATTTAAGTTCTTTCATACCGATTTCGCTTTTCTCAAAAATTAATGTAAGTCCATATTTTTGTAAAATTGTAATAACTTTCTGTAAACTTTTATTATGTTCAGAAATGGTAAGTCCTTTAACCAAAATATCATCCGCGTGAACAAGCACATCGTTCAAGCCTTCTTGCATAAATACATTCTTTAGAATTTTCTGAAAAATGTCTGGACCACTGCTGTATTGTTTTTTCTACATTTGGTAACACGAATCTTTCTCTTCAGTACAGTTTTATGCAGTTGAAGTTTCTATATTATCTTCATCCATGTCTAAATCGTCAAGAGAGTAAACTTTCGACCCAAAAATTTAACATATACCACTATCAAAACTTAACAAATAATTCTTTTTTGTTTCAGAAACAGCCCATCATCGCAGCCACACTCCTCCTAATCATTTTCCCAATAATCCATGCAGAATTGACCACCTATCACGTCTATCCCACTTCTGGAATGTCCTGCAAATATGGAGAAAGAGGTTCTTTGACGGCAATTTGCACCAATGCCACACCGATTTTTTTCAAGGACACGACGTACCGCTTCGACCATTTAGACGAAACCTTATTGTGCGTAAACTGCAGATTGACTCATTTGAGTTTGGGTAGCTTCGATGTCAGCGGCAACAGAATCCAGACTTTGAACATAAGCAATAGCCAGATAAAGACTATAGAAGAAAAAGCGTTTACCGGCCTGATTTTTATGGAAAAGTTGATTTTGTCGGACAATGCGATTTCGAAAATAGAGCAAAGAGCTTTTTTCGGTACTAGAAAAACTAAGCAGCTTTATATGGAGAATGCTTTGGAAGGTCCTTTGCCGAATTATGTGTTCCAAGAATTACATCAGTTGAGGGAATTGTACCTGAAGAATAATTCTCTGGCTATTTTAGAGCAAAATACTTTTTATGGCTTGGGGAGTTTAACATATTTAGACTTAAGTTATAATAAATTAAGAATTATAAATAATTCTTTATCTTCCTTGAGTAGCCTCAAGGTTTTGCTTTTGAACAATAATGAAATATTTAAAATTACTTCCTCAGATTTTTATCCATTACAAAACCTTTTAGACTTGGATTTATCAGACAACATTATTGGTAGTTTTCTAATTAATTTTACGCACACTAACAGCCTAAAGAAATTGAATTTGTCAAAAAACCATTTAGGCAATGAAGTAGTAAAAATAGGTATTTTCCAACATTTACATAATTTGGAAATTTTAGATTTATCTTTGAATTGGTTCAAAACAATACCACCGAAACTTTTCATGGGGCTCTACAATTTGAGAGAACTAAACCTGGCAAGTAATTCCATAACAAAATTTCAATCTGGAGCTTTCACTGGCCTGCCAAATTTACGACTAATCAACGTATCGCACAACAACATAGAAATAGCTGATATAACAGGAAAACTATCTCTACGTCAACTGCACGTGCTGGATATTTCCGAAAACAAAATTTCCAATTTCGATATAGTCAAATTTCTGCAACGGCTTCCGAAAATCACCAAAATAGATTTGAGGGAGAATTCTATGGATTGCGTGAAACGTCGATTGGTTTACGATTATTTGAAAGATGAAAATATTCAAGTTGAAGCTAGTGTTGAGTTTTGTCCCAAATTAAGTGAGGCTGCTTATAAAGAGTTCTATCAAGATGTGAATGAAGAAATTGAAGATTTAAAAAAGGGCAGTCCTGTGATTACTTCGATGAAAGTTGTATTTTTGTTGTTGGTGATATTGTCGATAGGGTTGTTGTATTATGTGCATTTATTTATTGTTCGTAGGAAATAGGGATTGATTAAGAGTAATGATTTTTTTATTATTTTTGTAAATAATTAAGTTAGGAGAGTTTAGGTGTAATAAAAAAATGGTAAATTTTCTGATGATGGCATTTTCATTTCAGATACCTACAATATATTTCAAATATATATACCTATAAGGTAGTTATTCATATATTATATCACAAGACCTTTAAATTTAATCGATTAAACTATCCAACATATTTTGAGCATGATTTTGCTTGGAAAATAGTTGAATGCACAATAACTTAATAAAAGCCCGAGACCGCGAAGCGGTCGAGAGCTTTTATTTTAAAGTTATTGTGCATGAAAATATTTGCCAAAAAGCAAAATTATGCAAAAAATATTTGGATAGTTTAATCCATTAAAATTTATAGGTCGAGTGGTATACGGCTAGATTATTTCCTGAATAATTAGGATTGAATTGTTGGCGTCAATCCCATCCAAAAAGTTCTATTTATTACAAAATGTCAGAATATTTCTATCAAAATTCTGTCAAAAAAGGTAAACAAAAATTTAATCACTGATAAATAAGGTCTTGTGAAATAATCACTTATTTAAACAAAATTCATTCAAAAATTAAGTTGTTTGATGGGTCTATTTTAAAATGAATGAAATAATCACTTAAATGGTGGGGAAAATTAATGATACTTTCTCGCATGCCACATCAGTGGAGTACGGAAACATTTCTCAGAATTGTAATATATAATCCAAAAACGGAAAAATAAGTAGGTGAGCCATAACATTACATACACGGAGTTTGACTTTGATGACATAAGACATTCTATCGGAATTTCTACAATCGAGAAAAATACTGACTGGCCAAATGCTGTCAGGACAATTAGGCAATTCAAACCACGTGACATTCAAGATGGCGTGGCGGCCACACATGGGCAAAAAAATATCTAGTTTCTGCCCGAATTAATAGTTTAGGTACCTAGTCAACAAATATTTTATTAAATAATGAAACTCAAAGTTGTAAGCAAAACTGTATGCAAAATAATTTAAAATACGCATAAAAACATATTCAAAACAAACTTGTTTTGGCCGCCACGTCACATTGAATTTCCCTTTTTGACAGATGGATTGAATTCCCTAATTAGGTGTCGGTTTTCTCGGAAATAAGATTGTCACCGATATCATTGGTCCAGCAGTACAAGATCTTGAAATCCTCCAGAAGATATTTCAAATTCTTGGAACAAAAAGTTTTTGTTTTCAGTTGCCTATCTCCTTTAGTAATGTTATAACTTCTGGATAATTTACTTCAAATAATACATCATATAACATATTCAAAACTGTGTGGCTACATGTTATATTATATAGGGGAAGGAAAATTCGACTTGGGGGAAAACCCTATCAATATAGGTAATATCGCCACCACGCCAGAGAGTATAAACGGAGCAGAACGGAATCTTGGGCAAATGTTGATTGGTAATTGTGTTCCCTGCGGCGGCCGTGAAGGTCCAATCAACGAACGGGAGTAGTAGCGCGGAAAACACCACTCTCCGAGTTTACCTTCGCGGAATAACAATGAGTGTCGGAGTTGAGAGCAAGAGGGATCTCCTTTTTTTTTTATTTGGAGAAGTTTCGGCTAATGAATATTATATCTTACACTTTAGCGATTTCTTCAAATTTGCATTTGCAAATGGAGTTTGTAATTGGAAGTGATTACATCAAAAATAATATCAAATAGATGAATATATTTAATACACAGATTCTAAAATATCGGGGCAGTCGGTGGTTCAACCTCTATCTGCTTTAGATCGAGGGACTATGTAATTTACTCGAGAAAGTTACAAAATGCAAAGACGCAAACACTACATCAGAGACTCAATAAATAACTTTCTCTTCAAACATTAAATAATTCATTCATTCTTGCTCCATATTAAACTGATAAATGATACGAATTCTACATGCCCCGTGGATTCCAAACCGGAATCCACGGCCTATCGACCAATTAAATTCTCCGTATTTTCGAAATACGCGGGCCGCAACGAGACAATACAAACAAAACATGACTGACGTCTACTGTTAGATCACGAAACTTTCGTTAGCTTTTGATGATTGTTATTTCTTACAAAAACTACCCAATGATTTTCTTTCAAAACGTCCGAAGAGAAAGTATAGTCTTTTACCCGCCAATAATGGCCTATATGCTCGTTGAAGAATATACTATTATTTAAACGGCACGAAAGTTACAACACAACTTCAACAAACGTCAAGTCCACTCAAGTCATTAACTAATTGTCCATATGATTGTTAAAAGTCGAAAACGTCGAAAACTACAAACAGGGTGGCCAGCTTGGAGGCTTATATTACAATTTCTCCCCTCCCCCTTTGATGATAGCTTCTCATTTAAAACGTCACCTGCATTATCTGCAACTGAAGTTGTACCTCAGGGTCTTCCACGATGTCGAAGAAGTCTAACTGGATTTGGGTCCTCATCCTGACAAGAGCTAAACGGCGTCGGCGATACGATTTTGGGTACAACGCTCAGAGAAATTTCCGCTCTCACAACCAGAAATATGTATAATGCAACAATCAGGCCTATGATGTATCCTCTCCTGTTATTTTAACAGCTGTGTCATAGCTCAACAGCATACCTGTCTCTATTTTGATGTATAGAATAAACAGTGACAGATAACTTAACGTTGCTGTTAAAATAACAGAAAATGATACATCATAGGCCTGATTATAATACAGTTTATATAGGCATAACACAATATAGTAAAATGCATCATAAATATATTGTTAATTGTTATTGTTCTCACAAATATTATTGTTTTTTTCTTTCAACTAGATCATATTGCTTGTCCTACCAAAGCTGCATGCTTCTCATCTCATAAATATAAATATTTTAAAAACAACAAAAATGTTCTTGCTATTTGCTATTGCAATCTAGTATTGATATAATTATCTTTTTACTAATTTCTATTAACCATATTATGTATTATCTGTAATCACATCATTTGTTGGAACAATAATAATGTATACTTAATCTTCTAATGCCAATTCCTCCTCTTCTAACAATGTGTTTTTTTAGAATTACCAATGCTTTTTAAGTAGGTAGGTACCTACAGGAGATCAACAAAAACAATTTCAAAATAACTGTCTTTTTTTAAATTTATTTTATCAAGGAGAACTTGGATAAAAAAAATAGATCAACAAAAATATTTGGAGTATTCACTCACTAGGTTTAGAATCACTTTACAGCGAGCTTCACGAGGTTTACGTTTACGTTTGGCCATTTTGGAACTGAATTGGTGTGGTAGGGTGAAAAAGCTTGCTTACAACCGTCACGCGTAGGCGCGTGAGGCTGAGGCCTGGGTACGTAAGGTACTCCTAATCAAACGTGTTGATCCAGCAACATGAACTTATGCCGATTCCACAAAATACACGGTCATATACGGTAATAATATCTCTAAAGTAATTGACCGGTATCGGAATCACACAGATACATTTATCCCACTTATACGGTATTGTTTCGGTAGCTAGATTCTGTATAATTGAACCAAATATAGCCTATTATTGCCATCACAACATCATGTTTTTAGCAGTTCTTTATATTTGTATATTTATTTAACAATCCATACTTAGTAACCTCAGCAATGATATATTTGTGATTCAACAATAACTCAACTGTTATTCTACCTCAGCGTTATTACAAGAAAAATTTCAATTGTACTTTTTCTAATAACATAATTGTACTATTTTTGACCAAATTGTACATTTTTTAGGTTTCAAATCTTATATACACTTTGTTTCACGAGAGTTTATACTTTTGACATAATTTGCTTTCCTTTTTTAATAAATTGAAATTGACTGAAACAAATTAATGGACGCTGCTATGACGTCTTCGATGTCAAAAGTGTAAACCTTCCTGAAACGAACTTTACTTTCCTGCTTTTATTTTTATTATTTTTAATGTAAACGAGATGTTCGATGGGCTTGGTTTCGGTACTAAATTAATAATTATAAATAAAAAAAAAATAGTGGTAATTATCAATTTTTGAAAGGTACCAATTTTCTTGGAGTCTAAAGGTGGGTTCCGTTGCCAACCTTGGTTACGGTTACACGTTCCGTAATGTCTGGTTCCTGGAAAACCGGTCTATACGGAACGCGGTAGGTTATGTCAAACATGTCACCAAGGCAACCGGCGGCGATCTGCGATTGGAAAAGCGTTCCGTATGAAACCGAAATTTTCAGCAACCACTTGTCAATCGTTGTCAACCGCTGTCAACCGACGTTGTACCGACCGGTTAATCAGGTTAGGCAAAGGAACCCACCCTAAAATCAATAAACGGTTTGGGTGCCACCCTCTGAGTGCTCTCGAAATACTCCGGCTACAGTTTGGCCCATTCAGGTGAACAGAAATTCGTGCTCTCGAGCTGCTCTGATTTCCTCGCCTTTTACCCTTGAAGCACCCAAGGATGATACACCACTACTACTACAGGATCGCCTATCCTCATAAAGCCTGTGTGAAACAAATCCCCCCTTCCCCCCGCGCCAAAATACGAGTTGTGACGTAGGCAAAATGTTATTTTTCGCCTTGACGTAGGCTGTTTAAACAACTGACAACTTAGTAATGACTTCGGCAATGATGGCACACCAGTATGACGGCGATTACCAAAAACGAGGTTGATAAGCACTCCTTAAAGTGTGTATTCTCCTTGTGAAGCACCTACCATTTGATAGTTGCGTCACGCTCCGGGCAATACGGTTTCAAAAGTTCGCGTGCAAAACGCATAGAGTATAACGGGTGTGAAGTGTTCTAGGACCTTCGCACTTTGCATCCGGAAGCGGTTAAGGTGGGTGTTTCAGGGGACGGGGACGAGGAAAATAAGAACAGCTCCGGAGCGCAAAATCTGCCCAGACGAACGGGCCAAAGGGTGGACGAACTACTTCGAAGTAACTCTGGAGTGTTCAAAATATGGCACCCGAAAGCGGCTCTATTCACTTTACTATTATGAAGCTGGTACCATCGTCACCAAA